ATGGAATAGACGGTCAATTTGGTTCCACGATTCGATTGTCCTATTTTTTAATTGGTGAGTTCTTCAGAGCTATGTTGAGTTACCACCGGGTATATGAGATTATATGAGGCACAAATCGGGTACACCAATGGGCCACCAAAACTTGTTCTTTTGCATGAAGCTATCTATTTGTGGAGTGATTATATTGACCCATACCCATATGGGTAAATAGTAATGGTTGTATCAGGTATATGGCTCTAATGGCATCGTCAAATTGGAATGATTAACATACCTCACATGATATGGTCTACTCAAGCTTTCCTGTAAGCATGTTGTGATGCTGTCGTCCCAACGTGAACCTTCAAGTACAGTAAGTGCCCCACCCACCCCACCTAATTTATTCATATGCGGGACTGTGCTATTTAACGTATCTTAAGCAGTATGTCATCACTTCCTGATAAGTTGGCGTAGCTATGGAAAATCACCATTAGCTTATCATCCGTAGATGGGACATTTTCCATAGCTATATATTCTAGATTACCAGAGGGTAGGGGTGATTTATCACGAAAGCTAGCGTCAGCTAGCTGGAGTCTTCTTGCTTTAGCAAGTATTCCGGGGGCTGCTCAAGGACATCACGTGATTTTTCACGTGAAAGGGGGGGACCCCCACCACCACCACCACCACCACCATCAGCATCATCATCATCATCATCATCATCCTCATCGTCATCGTCATCCTCATCGTCATCGTCCTCGTCCTCGTCCTCGTCATCATCATCATCATCATCATCATCATCATCATCATCATCGCCACCACCACCACCATCATCATCATCATCATCATCATCATCGCCACCACCACCATCATCATCATCATTGTCATCATCATCGTCATCATCATCGTCATCGTCCTCGCCATCGTCCTCGTCATCATCATCATCATCATCATCATCGTCCTCGTCATCATCATCATCATCATCATTGTCCATCCATCATTCATCATTCATCATTCCTCATTCATCATTCATCAGTCATCATTCACCATTCACCATTCATCATTCATCATCATCATCATCATCATCATCATCGTTATTCAATTACAATTTATCATTATTGGCAATTATTGGCATTATCACGAAAGCTAGCGTCAGCTCGCTAGAGTCTTCTTGCTTTAGCAAGTATTCCGGGGCTCCCCAAGGACATCACGTGATTTTTCACGCGTAAGGCCCCCCCCCTGCCCCCTTCCCCATATATATCATTGTATCATATATCATATATCATATATCATTGTTGCATCCTCGTTGGGACGAACAATGCCGCGACACGATGATGACAGTCCCTCCGCAACTCACCTCTTCCCTTCCTTCTTTCTCCTACCCCGCTAGCTTTCGTCATCCACCCCCGGCCTCAAGTTTCTCTAATCAACCCCTTAAATTGAAATCACTGGAAAATATGTGCCATGCAAGAATGGCATTGGATTAATGTGGTATGGTCTGGTCATCTCAGCATAGCAGCTGTGGACTCTCGCCACTTGCGCCGTCTTACTATCTAGGCAGCAGCGCGGTCTTTGAGTCAGGCATGATTCATGGACCGAAAAATTGTGCGCACAGTGATGACACAGGATGATAATAACAACAATAACTATAGATGATCATGATAGCAATGACTACAACTATCAGAACACTGATTCATAAAACACATCAGCTAAGAAATGATGATAAAGATCAACCGCAACTTCGGACGTCGCGTCCCTGATGCGGCTCTGAGGTGGATCCGTGGTCCGAGGCCTTTATGAGGCGAGAAGAAAAGGTGGAAGTGGTGAGTATATGGAAACCATTACCATTATAGTACTATTATAGGTAACCACTATTATAAATATGGTATACCACTATTATAAACCACTATTATACCACTATTAGTAATACTATACCATGGAAACCTATTTGCTATAATATAAACCACTATTATAGGAAACCACTCTTATAATCTATGATATGGAAACTATTAATTTTGGTCATTAACCACAATATGCATACCACTATTAACCATCATTAACCATTGGTCATTAGCCATTAGTCATGATAATCATTATCATTATCAACATAACTCTTGATTGTGATTCATGTCGATGATTGGTTTCACCCTACCAGACACATCGGTATTTCCATGATGTTTGAGATGGCAATGGAGAGAGAGACAGAGAGAATTCCATGATATACCATTCATAAGAACAATTACCCTCTGGTAAACTAACATAACTATGGAAAATCACCATTTTCATGGGTAAATCAACTATAAACGAGCAATTTTCAATGGTAAATTAACATAGACTCTGAAAATAAGCCATGTTTAGTGGAAACCAGTCTTCCAAGCCCGACAACTGCCAGGGTCTATGTTAATTTACCGGAGGGTAATCATGATATATATATATATTAAACCAGTGATTGTAATCCCTATGGATCCAAGTAGCTTCTGAGGATTTGGGTATTGGATTTGTCCCTTCGAGAAGGAACTATGAATGAATCCATAGGGTAAAAACATAGACGATGAATGACGATTATAATTGTTATAATTTTATAGCAATAATTGGCCTACCATCGAAGATTACTAGTCACTTGACTATTATATATATATAATTCCTGTTGCTACTAAATTAACAGGATACCTACCAACCAACCAGGATAATTTGGCAACAGATCTGGAATTTGGTAGAATCCAAGCCTGAAATAGTGGTGCATAGAACCCGTGTTTGGATATTTGTTTGGGGTGTTACTATGGACAGTCTCTAGGTCTTTGTCATTTTGAAAAAACGACCAACACGGGTCCCCAAAGAGCCTTGGAAGATCAGATTGGCAACCAGGTCGTCCCCTGAAGTTTGACCATGGCCGCCATTTGATCTCCAAACCTGAAAGCTTTGGTACTGTATCGCTTTTATATGTTGATTCCTGGAGAATACCCCTTGGTATCATGGGATTTATGGTGATTTAATGGGACTTTATAGTGATTTAATGGGATATTAATGGGATATACCCTCTGGTAGACTAACATAGCTATTGAAAATTGCCATAGAAATAGTGGATCTATCCATTGAAAATGGTGATTTTCCATAGTTACGTTAGTTTACGAGAGGGTAATTGTTGTTAATTCTTGAGAAATGTCAATATCAACCATTAGTTCCAATAAATGAATCTACAATGATGTGATATGATTCTGATGTGTATTCTATTGTTATTCCTGTTAGTAGCTGCCCGGTAAATCAGAATAGGCAAATGATAAGCACAACAAACATGTAAATAATGGTAAATAATATGTACTTAATCATGATTAAATCATAATTATATAAATTCATAATTAAAACATAATTAAAACACAATAATCATAATCATCATAATCAATCATGATTTATACCGCACCCGGGTTGCTAGGGAGCACCCCGGAGTCTGCATAGCCACCTCTTTGCTCAGATTAGCGTCACGGCAGCCGTTGTGGCCTCGGTCTGACCCGGTGGCAATTAAAATGGAGGTGTTTAATAGGAACATCATCAATGGTGGATTGCCATGTATAAATGGTGGATTGGGGAAATTCATCTGAGTAAGCCGAGGGGAAGCTTGGAGTATTGCAGTATTGGACAGTAAACGTTTGGCAAAGCTCCGATGAGACGCTGCGTCAACTACATCAGCCCCTCTAAATCAAGGGTTGTTTATCCCTATCCTTTAGCATGCCACGCATCATTTGATGATTTTGATGGGGCCTGTTTAAACCCCAAGAGATAGAAAACTGGTAATGTTTTTGTGAGCCGCCTGTAGCAATTTTCACCAATGTCAGCGGACACCAGAAATAAAATAAGTTGCAAAAGTGAAACTTCATTGCAAGCTTCAGGGCAAGTTGTGAAATGTGCCAATTCCTCTGGAATATGTTTGAACCCCCCCCCCGTTTATGATTGGCATGCTGGGACCCGACTTGCAAGGCATCACGCAGTGAAGTCCCGGGCAAACCGCAGGGCATGGACAGCTTACCCCAAAAGCATATTTTTTGCCGCAGCGGCTCATGATTTTACTGCACGGCCCCAGAACACCAAAACGGTTTCTGGTGCCGCATATATTTGGTTTCCACACAGCCCCAAAAAATATGATGATATTAAATGATATATATGATCCCCCCAATGACCAAAAATCTAGCAAAGAAAATCAACCACCAAGAACTGCCAGTGAATTTCAGAGATGTCTTGAAACACCATGAATATCTCTATGATTACCCTCTGGTAATTTAACATAGCTATTGAAAATGGCCCATAGAAATAGTGGATTTACCCAGCTATAAAATGGTGATTTTCCATAGTTATGTTAGTTTACCGGAGGGTATGCCAATTGTCCCATATTGTCCCATTCCAGATTTCTCAGGGCCCAGGGCCTCCCAGACTCCCTGGGGGGCCCTGAGATTTCGATAAAAAGGCCTCCAGCGGAAGAGGAGACTGCGCCCGAGCGGCCCAAAGCCCGGGGGCTTGGACGATCTGGTTCGGAACCACGTCTATGTATCAAAAAAGATGAAGAAAAGGGATGGACTTCAGAAAAATCTACAAGAAATTCACCCAACAAATTGGATGGACAAATTGGACACATATATAAAAATGGATGATCCGGCGTCCTCATGACTGCCATGTTCCCACTTCATTTTGCACCCATTCCAAGGCGGATTACATCCTGGGCAACGTGTGGCAAAACCGAACCTGGCGTCTTGGCATGGCAGTCCCCGGTGTCACCAAGTGGATGGCTACTTTAGTGCAACAAGTTTTTTTTGCTACTGCATATGTTTTTTAAAAACGTTTGTGAAAATTGGATGCTTATATCAGAATTATATCAGACATATTTACATGCTATGTGTAGTAATTTCTAATCTCAACTGATTTGTTTGATTGGTATCCAAGATTGGCCGTGATCATTTGGGATCATCGTCTCTATTAACCTTGGTGAATGGTCAGTAATGGATTACCTTTGCCATAGATCGGGAAGATAGACTAGCCACGGGCTGGGCACATGCAAAGACATGCTGCGCAGCAGCTTGGCCGGCGTGGCGGTCTCAGCGGTCTCAGCGGTCTCAATGAGCCATGGAAGCGGTCACTTCCGGTTTTTGCTTTGGGCTTCAACCTTGGATTCACTTTGGGCGAAGCCGTTCCCTGGGCCGAGTTTTGCACATGTCGTGAACCTCATGCCAAAGGAAGACATCGGCCAGCGCGTTGCCATGGCCTCTTGGCTCCATGCTCGCAAGGTGGCAGCAGCTGCTGGGATCGATGTCTCCTTGTACACCGTGGAAATAGGAGGCGAGGCAAAGGTACGACGCAGCCGCGAGTTTCATGAACTTCTTGACCTCAACCGAACCTCACGCAGCATCCTTGCAAGTCGCTTTTGGGATCCTCCTTCCTTGCCATTGGCTCGGGACATTTTGGAAAGGGCCTTAGATGTTGAAGCAGACTACATTGTCCTGACCCTCGCAGATGTTTCCCTCATGCCGAACTTTTACGAGGATGTGCTGGGCCTTCTGCAAAGCTCTGGTGCTTCTCCTGCACTCAGCATTCATCGCGTAGATGTGTATGGTTGGGAGGGGCTCCTGCCCCAGGGGATTGTCGATGATGAATCTTTGATCAAATTGACGCCTTTTTTCGACCTAACTCTCAAACACCCACAATTGCACCCTGGCAGCGACTGTTTTGTTTTCGAGCGGAAAGCGCTTCCGTTGATGATCGATGCGGTCGGTTATGTTTTTTTAGGAGGAGCACCATATGGGCAGATGCTCCTATCTGCAATGGACCATGCAGCAGATCTCCATATCATTGAGGGCAAGAAGTGGGCTTTTCATTTGAGCTTGACTCGTGAGTTTCGTGAGGGCTTCGACTGGAAATCTGGAGCGCCAGAGCCGAAGGATTTCCTGGCTTACAACAATTTGGCTGGCTTTGGGCTATCTTCTGTTCCTGTTCCAGGTTATCGGGCCTTTCCAAGCACACTTGCAATTTTGGACCGCGCTGTAAGCAAATTCTATGTGTCCACTGAAGTAGCAATGGACAAGGTGGGTTACTTCATGGATCCAAACATGTGCTTTGCCGAGAACGGAACTATTGCAGGAGTTGCCTTGGTCTTGGCCGGTGCTCCTCATGATTTAACAGGTCCAGTCATGGGCTTTGGGGTATGGCGTCAAGTGGCTCGCCAGGGCGCACGGCTGCAGGCTCTTCGTCGAATGTTCGAACTTCCAGTCAATCTCAGACAGGGGGGCTTCAGACCATCGCGGGTCATTGTGTCGATGAATGTTCCATTTCAACCTGGGGATTGCTTTGGATGGCTGTGGAAGCACGATTGGGCTGGCGTGTATTTAGGCTTGGAGGCTCCTCAAAAAGATACCCAATACGTTTTGTATGCAGCGTACACTCAAGGGGTTCAAGTTCCAAAGGTCATAAGGTTTTCAAAAAGGATCCATGGGACCTTCTCCATCAGACCGATTTTCATGTACAATTCGGAGCTTGCAGAGATGAAGCGTCAGGAGAATGAGACTGCGACAGAAGCTTCCGCAGTGATGAAAAGTCGCAAAATACCCATAAATCATGGGTTGCAACCTACAAACATGTAGGTTTCTGGTTTCCATTCTATAAAGTAATTCCTAAAGTTCTCAGCTCTAGCTGAACTCCTTGGAGATTGCAGCCTGCTCTCAAGACACAGGCTGTTTATCGGCCAGCTTGGTGAAGAGACACAAATGTTTTGTACAAATTGAGCCAAACATCCAGTCTCTTTCACGGGTATCTATTGAGATTTGGATATGTTTGGGAGATCATGTGTGATAATGTGGTACTGCACTAATCCCATATTTTAATTTGAACCGGGTTGAAGCTCAACCATCCCCGTTTTTGGATGGTTTGCTATGGGCTATGGCATTGGGTTTGCCAGATTATGTTTAGCGATGACCATTATTTGATTAGTGATCAGATGATCATGCAAGTAACCAGTCTTGCCCCAGTTGTCGGGTATGTGTGCTGTTTTTTTTGCCAGAAGTGGAGTCGTGTATTAATGTGGGTTGATTTGGAGTGTACCCTATCACCCAACAAAAGACATAAACGGGGGGTACACATACCGAAAGATGTGAAAAAATGGGAAAACCCGTATATATTTTATCATTTCGCCAGCAGGATCAGAAACGAGTGGCATTCCAGATCTATGACTCTGTGTCTTAAAGGAGGGTACTGGGAAATCATGAAGATATGGAAATCCATATGATATGGAAACTTCAGGGTATCCCATTTTTAGGGTACTGTCTGTGGAACATCCCCATAGATGTCCCAAATTCCCATTGGTTGGTTGATGAAAATAGAGTGGTTTCTGAAGAGAAACCCCTGAAAAACAACAGGTTTCTATGACGATAGATGGGATTAACCAGCTCCCGGCCCAAACCTATTTTTACCAAAAGGACATCAAATTGGCTTGGCAAATGTACTCTTTTTTTCACATCACCCAAATATTGGCAATATAATATATTATAAATA